CCGAGGCTGGGGGCGGGAGGCGGTCCGGGAGGTTCCGGGTTGGCTCGCCGGCGCCCCCTTTTCTCTCCCCCTTCTCCCCGCTCCTGAAGGGACAGGCCCTCTGGGCCCCAGGCGGGAAGCGGGAGGGGCCCTCCCGGCCGGCTCGCGACGGTCACGCCCCGGGCCGGGTACACTTCTCTCTCGGGTCTCTGGGGGCTGCAGGGGGAGGGGGCCAGGGTCGTCGCTGCGCGCTCAAGCTCCCCGCCCCCCGCCCCTCCGGGGAGTCCCGGAGGCGCCTCTTCCGAGATCGGGGGTGGGTCGGTCTCTGGTTAGATGGTCCCTCCCTCTTCCCCCTCCCCCTAGTGGTTTCCGGGGCCTGCGGGACCGAGGGGCGGGAATCGGGGACCCGAGCGCCGTGCACCAGCCCGGAGCTGGACCGGGCCTAACGCCGTCCGGGTCTGTCACTGGTAGGGGAAACTTTCCCAAACCGGGGACCGAGCCTACACACCCTCCTCCGCCACCTCGTCCTCTAATCCCACTCCCACTCCACCTCCTCCAACGCCTTCCCCTCCCACCGACCCGAATCTCGCTGCGTGTGAGTGATGGGGCAGTGAGCCAATCGAAGGCGGGGAGCTGACCTGCCGGGTGTCGGTAAGCCAATCGCAGGGACCGGAGGAAGGAAGGGGGCGGGGCCTCTTCCGGACCAGTTAGAGCTGAGTTGCACGCGGGGCGGGGGAGTCATGGAGACGCCAAGAGCTATTCACTCTTGTCCATCCCTAGTCACCCGCTCCTTGATATGTAGGGTAGTGTCACTTACAAGGGCTCTGACCTGGGGAGGCACGCAGTTCGCACGAGATACTGTATTTCTCTGGTACCACCAGAGACGTTGTCTTAAGACACCACGAAGTCTAAGCCACTTACGATGTGGCAGTAACTCTACGAGGCCCCGTTTCTAAAATGGCATATATTGTAGTGATCGCGTTCTGGACCTCAGCGCTCGGTTTACGTGCTGAGGATCATAGGAGTTGTCTGTTTACCTCTGCCTCAGTTTCACTCAGCTACTCCAGCGTGGGGACAGTGAAATTTGAGAGAGTACTGTGAAAATAAAGGCACGGGGAAAGCCTAACGTCAATTGATTATTGAGAGTTAAAGGCATCATTGTTTGTAATGGTCTCACTGGTTCCTTGTTTAATTAGAACGCTGATTTCCAAAGTGCACTTGAAAGTTCGGCATTTGGGATGACATTTAAAAAAAAAGTTGTGGTTTATGGTATGCAATTTTTTTTTGTATTTTTCTTTTCTTGAGTAAACAAAATGAAGTTAGGAACCAAAGCATCACTGTTTGAAACCTAAAGCGTTGGTATTTAAGGAGCAAAGCTAGTCAAAGAATATTTGTCTACAGAAATAAACATGTGAGTAAAATGTAGTTTGCCAGATTACTCCCACACAAAAGATTCTTAAAAATAAATTATTTTAATGTGCTTAAACACTACTGAATGGTACAGTGTGGGGGTACTTTTCTGGTTTTTGCAAGGTCAGGAGGCATCTTTGGTTGTTTTACGCTGTTTCTTGGGTACAGGGTAATGACTTCCTCAACTCTTGACTTTTAAGAATGGAGAAGATAGGTCTTGACTCTCTGTAAAGATCACAGGTTGCTCCGCAGGAATAGCAGTCTTTTAAAAAGACAGCAGCTGCCACGGTGCGTGCTTGTGTGTGTGTGTGTGTATGTGTGTGTATGTATGCATGCTCCTGTTCTTTGTTGGTGAGGTTAGTGCACACTGACAGCAGCAAGGCTCCTTTTTCTCAACTGGAATTTGTAAAATCTTGGGGAGTTCAAAGAATGAATAATATTAAATTTAGAATGCATCTATTCATTTTGTGATAAGTGTCCCATGAATTTAACTAATCGTGGAAGGGTTTTGTTTTGTTTTTTTGAGGCATTTTATGTGCATAATATTTATGTGGACTGATTTCTCAAGCTTGTAATAATATTGGGTTACTAAGAAAGAATTGAGTTTATGGGGACTATAGTTTTAGGGAACAGTATTTACCACACCCTACAAAAGTGTTCTGTTGTAATAGACCATTTTCAGACACATAATGTGAATTCCCAATCTAGTGTAATTTGTGTAATTTTGAGTGTTCTTGTAGACAGAAATTAATTGCATTTTGCTATAGCCCTTGAGGTGTTATTTTGGTGATAAAACGATAAAAACTGTGGAGATAAAACAAACAGCTGCCAGAATTAGGGAGTATTATAAATTAAACAGCATTCAAAATTTGACATTCAACCCCCTCGCCCCCCCGCCCCCATCATTAGTTAATGTAGTTACTGATGCCCTGTCTCTTTTGTATGCTCAAGAGCAACACATTATTTTACTCATTCTCTACAACAATCCTTGAGAATGTTCTCAGATTCTTGGTGGCAGTGAGTAGCAAGTCCCCTAATGCCTGGCTAGGGGGAAAAAAATCCTCTCACGCATATGGAGGCATCTAGAAAAAGATGTGCATGGTCAGCTGTGATTCCATTGTGTGCTCTCAGACTGGATCTGAGCCTTCTTCCCTCCTGGGAATTTCAGTCTTAACAGAGGAGTTCTTTGACTTTTAGCTGTCAGAATACTGAAACAGAGGATAGAAAAGATCTCACAAATTATGAATTTAATATTTTTTAGATAGTTTAGCTTCTGATTTTAAACCTTCATTGGTTAAATATAATTTACATGACTTGCTCAGTGTCAGAGGAGCATTTTACTAGAAACCTAAAATGTAAGGATCAGATGGGGACTTGGGCTGTGGTGAGAGTGCATAAAGGAGCAGAGCTCCTTGGTTGGCTTTATCTTTAGTTATGTCTTATTAAAGCTTGCAAACCTCAGAAGCAAGGACCTATGAGCAGTGTTTTCATTACAGACCCTGTGTTTAAGGATTCAGTACCTTAGCTCTAAAATCACATCAGGTTGAAATGTGACCCATAACTTGACACCTTGAATTTCTTAGAAAAAAATTGTGTTGTATTGGGTTTAAAAGGGATTCTTTTAAGCAGCCCTTAGGATGTTGGGTACCAAAAAAGTAATAAAAGCATCCCTGAACAGTTTTTCTTGAAGATTTGTTTTCTGAAATACACAGTGTGTCCTTATTTGGTATTTTGACCATTATATCATGATTGAAATTATATTTAAAAGCATAATTACTTCACTATTTTTATAGCAAAACTGCTATTTAAGAAATTACTTGCTTTTCTATATTTTGTGTTTATAGTTTTGTTTGGTAATTTATGTTATTATATGCTCTATCAATTTTAAATTAAAGAGACTAGGAGGGAGAAAGTAAGTCAGTTGCTTTAAGGTGTTGGTCTTCTATTGCAGTAAATCATGAACTGAGCAGCAAATCAGGATCTTTCCCCCTAATGAAATAATCATGGACCAAGTTTTCATACTAATAATGAAAGCCATTTAAGGAGAACAGAACTCAGTTTTTAAAATACTCTTTCATATCTCAACCTAATTTTACCTCTATGCCTTGTTTTTCCTCACAGAAAAGATTTTCTTAGCGTTTGTGTTTATTTCCTTTTTTGTTTTTTACAGGCTTATAGAAGGATTTATGGATTGCAAACTGTAGAACGAATATTATTTTATATTACGCTTTAAAGTCTATTAAAAGTAATGTTTGAAAAAGCTGTACAATACAGTGTTACTGTTCCAGACCCTCAATTCAGGCAGTATAAGAAAAACATATACTTTATGGATTCTGAATACTAATTTCTAAACAGAGGTGAGAATGTGACGTTTGTGGACATTTTAGAAGCTGGTGTAGTTTTCCTGGCTGTTGTAAAATTGAGGCAAAACCGATTATGGAAAAAGAGTGGAAATCTTAAAGGTGTGCTATGAAGGTATCTGAAATTAAAATTCTGTGTGGTCTGCAGGTAGGTCATAATAGTGTTGGTTCTGAGGGCAGAGATTTTTCTATGTTTATCCTATGAAATGTTCATCAGTGACCACATTTCTAGCTTCCAGTGGCTGATGACATAATGCAATTGTGGACGTGTTGATTCGAGAACAATTTTTAGTCAGTTCCCTAGTTTGAACTTTTCAGAGAAGAATTAAATAAGCAGGAGACCTATGGCAGTATTTGACTTAGCTACTTTGGAAGCTTTTGGACATAGAACCTTTGAAGTAAGGAGAGCTGCTTACAGGTAGACATTATGAGCGATAATTAAATAGTTATTAATAGTTAAAAGTTTCTGAGAGAAAAAACAATTTTTACTTTGGGTGTCAATTGAGAGATACATGGGGAATTGACATTAGCATGTTGATTCTGGCAGAATTTATGCTTTTTAGGCAGCCAGTTATGAACTGTTAAGAGTTCCCAATGGAGTTCCCCATGGCCAACTTAACTCTCCTTTTGGGCTTTTTAGATCTTGTTTTTGCATTCTTGCCTGTTTAACCATTATTTCATTCATTTGCTCTGTTATTTATTTGATGAGTATTTGAGTGTCCCAGCATTGGCAGTTTACTTTTATAGTATAAACCATCTATTGCAAATCCTGTGACTGAAGGGGGAAAACACAGTGGATGATGATTTGTTTGGTGGGGAGGAGGTGGAAAGGGACATGTTCACCTTAATTTTCAATTTGCTTTGATACTAAAGATCTGCTCTTTTTTGTGTGTGTAATTTAAATTGTATAATATCAGATAATTCTGCCTTGATTTGGGTTTGGGTTTTCTTTTTCTCCCTGAAAATAGGATTATAATGTTTATAATAAAAAGGTTGTTAAATGTACCCATTGCCTGATTAGCTTATGATTGAATAGATTTCCTTTAATGAAGGTATGAATATTTATAATTAACTTTGTTTGATTTCCCCTGAAATCATGTTGTGTGTGGTCAGGGTGGCATCTTTAGTTGGTGGAAGGTGACAGAGCCGCGGGTCAGGGACCTCCCGGTTCTCTGGATTGCCAGGGCTTTATTGCTGCCTTAAGGCTAACGTGTTCTGGGCCCTCACCACTGGGGGTTTCAAAAGGACAGGAAACTCCTTTGCATAGTCTTTTTACAGGTATTCTGCTGTGGTCGTCAGTTTTTCTAGATGTAACTCACTCACTCATGCTCTTGACTAAAATGTCAGTCTTGGGAGAGCGACAACTGTACAATGTGAATGGTGACAGCAGCTGCTACCGAGTGCCACCAGTCTGTTAGGGGCTTTTCGAGGAGTGCTCCATTCTGTCCTTCTTGCCACAACCCTAGGAAAGAGAAGTTACCCCCGCTATTCAGAAGGAGTGGAGCTTAAAGGGGATCAAGTCATTGTGCCTCTGAGCAAAACTTCGGGGAGAAAAATTAACCTTGACCAATGAGTGGGGACACCTCGTAAATATCTGAGGGACTGGTGAGTCTGAGAGTGCCTACCTGTTGGGATCTGATACAGCAGATGTTTGCAGGTCTTTATAAGGCTCTGTCTAGTTGTTTAGTCCATAAAAAGGATGAGTAGATTTGAATACATCCAGTCCTGCAAATAATTTAGGCCAGTATCTCCCAAACCGTTGCCCCAAGGCAGACCTGTACCTTGACAGACGTTACTTAAGTTCTACAGAGAGCCTGCAGATTTTGTAGTCATCGGCCCAGTGTTTAACAATTACTAAATTGCAGGGTTCTTTCTTGTCTATTAACTTTGAAAAAATAAGACCGTAATGGATGAAGTAAAAACATGTGACGTTCATTGAGTGCTCACTAAAGACCTGGTGCCTTTCCTGTGCACTCTCGCTGCCAGTGCTCGTTGTCATTCCTCCTCACCCTCCAGGAAGTGGAGGTGCAGAGCTGACAAGCAGCGTGCCAGAGGTCACACAGCCAGAGTGCCGGAGAGGAGTTTGAACCCAGGCCAGCATCGCCCCTTAGCCCTGCCTTCTTACCTGGTGTTCTTGTTAGCTGGTAGGCTAAGCTGACTCTGTCCTACCCAGAGCTTTGTTGAGGTAACACAAACGTAATTCTTCTCTAGGGAGAGGGAAAAGGGTAGGAGTGTATTTTGAAAAAACACATTCAAAAAAAAAGTTTCTTCTGTACAGCACAGGGAACTATGCTCAATATCTTGTAATAATCTTTAATGGAAAAAAATTGAAAATGAATATATGTATGTGTATGCAAGACTGAGACATTGTGCTGTACACCAGAAACTGACACATTGTAATTGACTATACTTCAATAAAAAAATAAAAAGGGAAAAAAATAGGACATTCAGGTTGCCTATTGTTTCTTACAATAAGAAGCTTAGAAAATAAGCTCAAGGAAACTTGATTGCAGGACATAAGGTAGAAAATAGATGGAGAGAGCTCCGGGTACGGATTTAGGAAGGAGGAAACACGGGTGTAGGTAACGGCTTCTTGTCTCTTTAAAATATATTTAATTCAAGTACGTTTAACCATTAGGTGGTGATTGTGTGATGCATATTTTGCAGATTTTTTGCAACCCGTGGAGCATAGGGGACTCAGTGTCGAGATATTGTAGTCCCGAAAAGAGGCTGATAATATATTCAGTCATCTGACTTGTGCTCTGCTATTTGTGGAATTCTTCTGTCTGCTCAGTCGTTTGCAGGGAGCAGAGAGAGCTTTCAGGGAACTCTTTCACCTGTGAGTGTGTGGTGTGTGGGGAGCAGTAGGCACTGCTTTTAGTGTTCCAGCTGCTGGGTCTGAAGCCCTGTTGTCAGAGTTGAAAATGTGACGCACAGTATTTTCTATTATTCTATCCACTGTGTCTACAGGAAATGTGATCCCACATCTTCCAAGGCTTAACTTGCAGAGCATGAGGGAGTTCTGGAAGTTCCTGTTGTTGCTGACTGATCACTGCCCATTGAAGTACTTGTCTAAATGAGGATGGTCTTTTCTAGCAGATTAAAATCAGCTCATGAATCAAACATGAAATGACTTTCCTTGCCTTTGGTGGTACAGTAGCATTTGTAAGAATATTTCGTATTAATTTATCTTGAAATTTCTAATTCTGTTGTTACTATGCTAAATAATGGAAAGCTTTCAGTTATTGTCAAAATGTAAATTGAAAAATTGAATTGCGTAACCTAGGGGAACCTATACTTTACCTGAGTCATTTCTAGGCCATTTCTAGAGCCAAACTCTGGAGAATTTAGAAGTTAACTTGATAACAAATTTTTAAACATGCATTTTAAATGTGCTTGTGTATATATTTAAAAATAGATTTTTTCATAAGTATGTTTATTAGGCAATCACCTCTGGTTATTTTTGGAACATAGGTGGCAAATTCTTTCACATATTTTTGATTCTTAAATAAAGAATATGGAAATTCCTTCTTAAAAATCTCAGTGTTAGGAGTGCATGAATTTTTACCCATTTGACATAATAGCATTTCTTTTTTTTAATTCTTATTTTTTATTGAAGTGTAGTCAGTTTACAATGTTAGTTTCAGATATACAGCAGAGTGATTCAGTCATATATCAACATATATACATACATACATATTTTTTCAGTTTCTCTTCCATTACAGGTTATTACAAGAAATTGAACATAGTTCCCTGTGCTACACAGTAGGTCCTTGTTGCTTATCTATTTTATAAACAGTAGTGTGTATCTGTTAATCCCAAACTCCTAATCTTGAAATTACAGACGCTGGTTTTGATAGTACGGAGCCGGGCAGTGAGGCTTGCGGGCCTTTGAGGCTATTCTGTACCTGCCACCTTGTGCCTACCGCCTGTTGTGGACATTGTGTCAGGTGTGCTGTGCTTGGAGACCAAGCTCCAGTTTGGATGGAATGGTAAATAATGGCACAATTTAGGACTGCCTCAGTTGGGTTTAAGTCTTTCTAGACTTTTCTCCTCTGCGTCCTTTTATCCTTATTTCCTGACTTTCTCAGTTTCCTAAAGTTGAAGATTGGAAGATGGGTGGCAGTGAAGGAACACAATCAAGATTATGGGGAGTCTTACTGTCATTAAGTATTGCGTGCATGGTCGTGATGACCTGCAGTTTCCCTTTTTACCGAACAGACTGGCTCTGCTAACAGCACTCGGTGAAGAAGCTAGTTACTTGTTAAGGAAGGCTTTTGGTTGAGAGCAGATCACTTAACATGCATGGTGCAGTGATTGGCTGATTTGTTATTGGACGTTAGTCTGTTGCTGGCCTGCATTGTGGTCTAGCGGACTGGGGCGCCGAGCCTCTGTTGTCTAGTAGGATTGAGTGTTAACATTCCCTAGCTTTTCGGTATTTTATTTCTCCCCTGTTGAGGGATATTGTTACAGACTCTAGATGTCAAGTGTTCAAAATGGTGTAATTGGAAAATTAAGATATTTAACATAGGTGAAAATGTTAACCAAATTCTTAAAGCCCTAGGAATGCCCACCTCTTTGGAGTTTCTGGTAGTATATTGTATTTTTAATTTTTATAATTTTGAGATTCATATGTAGCGTTCTTGTTGCTGTTTTAAGTAATATGTATTAATATTTTGATTTCTTTGGGTTTTTTTGGTGGAAATGTGATATAAAAATATTTACTCCATTAAGAAATGTCATTTTATTTCTGGCACCCCCAGAGTCTTTTCTTAATTAACAAATAGTAAGTACAAGTGATGGAACTGAGTGAAGGGACTGGAAGTAGATTCAGTTCTTCTGTTTATGCTGTGCTGCTACGTATTTCAAGCGAGAGGCATGTACAGTTAAGAGCTCTAATAAATGAAAGGCTTTAAGCTGTTAGCTATAACACAAGAAAATGGCATTATAGTCATTGTGTACTGAACATATTTTTACAGTGACAGAAGTCAACAAAATTCCTGGGCATTGAAGGATATTAGAAAACAAAACTGGAGCATTTTCCTTCTCTGGGTAAAGCACACTCACATCAGAGCAACAGCATTCTCGTACTCATGGATGATCTCTGTGTAATAGTTAATATCTCACTTGGAGAAAACGCATTCAGGAGAAAAGAGAGCCAGGAGATGAAGGGAACCTGCCAGTCTCTTCTTCCTGGCCTCTTGTGAACACGTGTTGATCACCCAAGCACACGCTCTTTTATTTGCCTAGAGAAAACTAATGAGTGAGTCTAGAATTTAGGAAGCAATTCTTTAATATAAACTCAATTGATTGGGGGTTTCTGTTATTGATCTCAGTTAATAGGTATACAGTCAAAACAAAAAGAGATGGAGTCCAACAATATCCAAAGGTTATTAGTTGCTTATTACATTGATTATAGATTTTATAAAAATGTTCTGTAGGAAAGGAAGGAAGTCACTTACCCTCAAATCAGAAATAATAAAGACTTAAATTTTTGGCTTTGTTGCCTCAGTAAAACTGAACATTTTTTTACTACCCACACTTATTAACTTTTCCCCTGCAGAATATTTTGACACTGTGATGAGAAGAGGGATTAATAATCTCAGTTTATAGTGGAAAGAGGAGAAAAAAGGTTTAAAGAAAACCTTGGGGAAATTCAGTAGTCTGGAAAGGTAATAAAACAAAACTAAACACAAAGTATGGGTTTGGCACGTAAATACTTCCATGGAAGAAGTGATAAAAAAAAAAAAGAGAGAATGAAAACGTCTATTGAAAGGCTGATGTCTCAATAGATAAATTATGAAATTCTACAACTATCCAAAGAGCAAAGCCCTTACAGGCCCCACATTAATATATACTTGTGACAACACCTATAAAAATATTCTCAGTTTTCTTCCCAAATCTCTGGTTAATTTTTTGCTTTGTGGGATCATTTTATTTGCAGAGTAAGTCGAAAGGGTATCTATCTGTCTGTCATCTCTTCAGATTCTGTCACCAAGCAATTACATATTAAGTAGTAGAAACGATATACAAGTCTGGTGGAGAAGCAGGGTGCTGCCCTGGGACGTGCAGTGTCGTATGTCTGTTTTTCTGAGCTCCCATGATGCTTCAGTAATGTGGTAGAACAAGTGGCTGAGTAATAGCTCTTTCAGTGCTGTGTATGCTTTTTCGTTCTCCCACTTTCCTCGCTTTGTGTGTGTGTGTGTGTGTGTGTGTGTGTGTGTGTGTGTGTGTTGGGTGAACTATTTGAAAGTGAGTTACAGATGATCCTCTATCTGTAAAGCACAGTACCGTGAAATAAAATAAAGACATTATCTTACAGACTCACACACAACTATTAAGCCTAATAAAACTCTTTTTTTTTCTTAAACCTAAGAAAACGTACATCAGCTAGTATCAACTCTCTACTTCAATTTTCCCAGTCATCTCCAAACTGTCTGTTACAGCTTTGGGTTTCAAACCAGGATCTAAATCAAAGCTTGCCCATTGCATTTGGTTCTGTGGTCTCTGTTAATATTCAGCAGTTCCCCAAGTTTTTTGTTTGTTTGTTGTTTTTTGGCCTTTTAGATGCTGACTTTTTTTTAATTGTTTTTTTTTTAAGTTAAAAATTTTAATTGTGGTAAAATACATATAAAATTTAACATCCTAATCATTTGGTTAAGTGCCATTAAGTGCATTGACATTGTTGTAAAACCATTCTTTTCAGTATTTAGAATTCAGTTTCTCCAGCAGTGTTTAGAAATTGTTAAATGTATTAGCAGATTAGATCAGGGCTGAAGAAAAGCATAACCTTTGAGAACTTCTGGCTGGAGGTGGTGGCATCTTAGGATATTTTCTTGGCATGCCCTTCTGAAGTATTTGGGTCTAGACGTGCTTTTTACAGCTGCATCATAAGGAGGCTCGTAAAGCTAATGCCATGAGGGCTGCAGATGCAGAGGTAATACCTGCCTGTGCGTGTTTTCCTCCGAGGAAGTAGTGGATTTCTGTTTTAGGCATTGGAGAGGGGTTGGGATTGAGACATTTACAGCATACTTGGCTAAATAGGAAACTTTTGTATCAGACAGTTCTTTGGAACATTATAGAGACAACAGTTTCCTGGGAGTTTTTGGAGTGTGGCAACTTACAAGACACATTTAGAGACATCAAGAATGGAAGGAAAAGTGGACCATACATAGTCCTTTTTATTTAACAACTCT